CACTCAATTACCTTATTTTTTTCTCTTAATCACTTCCTCTACACTGCTAAGATGGGCTCATCGATAGTTTGTATTACATCGACTTGCGAATCCGGAACTGAATCCGCAGAAAACCATGCATCAGTACGGTCTATAGGTAGTCTCTTCTTCTCGGCGCGCTTCTTCTTTCTCCTAGTAACAATGCCTACATCCATATGCTCATCTGTTTCCTGATGAGGTCCACCTTTATTGTCCCATTTAAGTCTAGAGCTAGGCTCGTGATAACGCTCTCAATTTCCATGGAAGCAGAGTTTTGATCATTCACTGCTGCCTGTTTATCGGAGGGCAATTTCCTAGCTAAGTTTAGCTGCTCGATCGCCTCTAGAATCAGCAGGGACTTGATGGAACCACATGCTTAACACAACCAACGTGGTAATGGCCTGTAGCACCGTTTATATGTAGCCGGTGTGAGTCCGGTGCACACATTCTGACACCAATTATTGCAGCTATCACATTTCATGCCCTCATTGACCAGGAAATAGCATGCTGGTCTACCACAACGATGTTTCAATTGCGTCATAGATTTGTTTTATGTTTCTATATAAATAAGATGAAGAAACAATAAAAAAGTCCCACTTCAGTAGCTACAGAAAGATTTTAACAACTATGGATATAGACAATACTCAAAGATATATTCGACGACTAAGACTAATCGCCAGTGCCTTTAGTTTTATGCATCTGTACTCGTTAAGTACAGATAATAAACTTCTCTAGAGAAAAAGCTGTACTCTTGAGGATTACTTTAATTGAGATAATTCAATTAAAGCAAAAACAGTAGTCTTGATGCGTAATTTAACTATCAATACTATAAAAATTTACTCAGAGGAAAAATACCACTCTCCCTTTTGAATCACAACAGACGATAAGCTGCAGCTGCTAAGTCTTGAGAAACAACTCATCATTCAACCTTAAATATTTATTATGAAAGCATTACATGGTGCTACAAACTGAATAAAGTCTAATACAATATAAAGTGTGCCTGACAAGAAGTACCAATTAAAAGAACATGAAGTATATTTTACACAACAATTTCATGGATCATCTGATTAGTGAACATCAAGAAAATGTGAAAATTACCATGAAATATGTCGACTATATACATTATGGTTTTGAGAGTGAATAAACAGACAATCCTTAACAGATCTCAATCGTTTTGTTATCCAGAAACATTTGGGTACACTGTGTTTGATGTCCATGAAACCTGTAGAGGTAAATAAACTCACTAAATAAATGATTTTGTTAGTCTTTCACATTGATACTGATCTCAGTTTTACTGGATATATCTAGCTGGAGGGGCTCAGTCACGCAACCGCCCCACATCATAAGGAGATACGTTGTGCTTCTCATCTCTTACAATCGCTAGCCAGCTTAGACTAAACGCTTCTCGACATATTGATAGTCTTTTGAACATATCTTTGAACCATTTCATTTCTGACTCCTGATTTGACTGGGTTGGCATACTTCGATTACAAAGGTATCACGTACAGTAATTTGAGAGGGTTATGCTCACAAAGTCTATGTGTGATAAGCACCTAAATATAACAAGTTTCCGCAGAAATTTCTTCACTAAAAAACCCAATGATGTTAGCAGACCTGATACTCAAAACTGCCCGGGATACAGTACACTGCCGTTTAACGCTACAAAGTAAGAGGTACTCGTAGTTCATGCTTTATTAGTTTGTGGATTCTCCTGAACAAAATGATTAGACTTTCATGTCATGTATCTTCTCGACTGGTTTGCTAGATACATGTACAATCTATGATACCTTTAAATAAATGATCAAGACTCGGTTAATATAGACCTCGCTGACATGAGATAATGATGGAATGTTTGTAAAGAGACTCTTCTCTAGTGCTGATTTTGAGATACGACCCATTGTTGGTCATACATCAAGTAATTCTAGGATTACCGAATGAGACGAAAGCTGTATACCTAATTTTTGCAGACAACTGATTACACTTAGTGTGATACGCATTCAAAAGATCAGTTGGGACGAGATAAAATATCAACCTTGTCTAGTGAATGATACAGAAAGATGAAACAGGTTTTTATTTAGTCAGATGAAATGAAACCTTCTCATCTCACTAAATCTTCTCGACAAGGATTCCTTGATAACACGCATCAACCGCAATTAGGCTGCCATTCAGCTAGTTAAGTAATTACTATCTGACTACTCCCATCGTGAAATAAAGTTTCTTCTAAAGACTGCTGACCCAGAATCCCACCGCTATTTAAGTGTAGAGAAGTACGGATCTCTCATGATAAAGGAACTTTTGACGTACTTTAAGTCAAAAAAGTTCGTTGATTCATTCGGATTACGACCACCAGTCTCATAAAAATTTAATGAGCACACACTTCATCTTCTGTTGATTTATTCGAACATCCTTTAGTCAATGACGAACCTCATTCTGATTGGAAGGTTGGTTTGTTCATACTTTAAGAAGGCAACAAGATAAAAGCTTCCATGCTATCCACAGTAGCGTAAATCATACGAATGACTCTCTCCTCAGCTACGTTCATAGCGGACAGCCTCACAGGGACACAACCATCAAATGCTTTTTCGGTGTTCTCTCCAGGGTTCATCATCTCATTATGCATCCGAAACTGAGGTAAAGGGGCACAACTCAAAGTCTTATAATGTGACTATCAAACTACCAAAGCTAGATGTCAAAAAAAGATATCCTTTTCTACTCTGTCAAATGAGTTCTCCATGGTGAGTGGAATGCCCCAAGTGTTATGGATATTGGAGGTTTGATAGCGCTTTTGTCTGTAACGCACTTGCATTCAAAACTTACCAAACCCAATCAAACCAGAGGTCGGGGACAAAGGAGTCCGAAGATATATTTGTAAGGTACTCGGTATGTTGGAAAGTACTTGGTTTGGGCTAGGTAAATGTCGAGAAGGATGTGTAGTACATCACGCCCAATGGTGAACTGATGCTCATGAGTAACCGAACGCCTTCAGCTAAGGTGTGTTTAAGAAAACTAATAGGGTCAGCATCAATATCTAAGACTTACAAAACTATTTTTTCCGGAAACTTGTCAATCTATACATGTAAGTGATTTCCAAATTACACTCATACTTGCTTAAGTATGCAAGACTTGATGAAAAAAGCCGTTCATGAGCATATATATGAATAAATATCATGAGGCGGCGAGAACTATCATGTACAAAAGAATTTTGTAGGGTGATTTTGTGAGAGAAATGCACACATACTCATGCATACCGAAAAAATTGGTGTGATTTTAAATGAATTATACGAATAAACATATTTTATTTATTGTGTTTTTCACAAAGTAAAAAAAACCCTGAGAATTCAACCTAATGGCTATAGAATACAAAAGCTTATAAAATACTCTGCGTAATCCTTTAGTCGTTCCGGAAACTTTACAGTTCTTCCAGAGCATGCTATTTCAGGCCAGCTGTCGGATGATAGAGACGTTTCATCGATTTCTCTGGTTGTTTGGTTGGTTTCATCTTAGCCATAAGGACCATGTGGTTCGACTATTTAGTGAGAAAGTAAATCGCTTTTAGACGGTAGATGCTGATGGTATCTTTCAATCCAGGTCTTACCAATGGTATCTGATTTGGAATCACAGTTAATTGCTTCATAGGGTCCCACATGTACAGCGTCGACGGATCGGTGTGGTGAATTGTGACGTACAAAAACATGTTTAATAAGTCGTATGATGAGTTGGACAAAAACATCGGTTTATTGCAATCTGTTGGAAATGGGTTTAAATGAACGCATCGCATTTGTGTTAAAGATCGCTTTTAAAGATGGAGACTATTACCTCCCCCACTTTCCACTACATGACGATCCGGCCTCGCGAATAGGAAGCCTGACCCTGCTATGCAGAAGCTGGCCCCCGCGATCACGACACAACAGTCACATGTGCAGGTTATTTTTGTCTCATTCCAATACGACGCCGTAGATAAACTGGCTGCATCTGCCGATTGGATACTAGCGATCACAACGCATAATGACATTACATATCTACCTAAAACTACCACTCGTTTCCCCAACATTTATCATAGTCGCAGACCCTCCGAGAGTCCCTAAAGAAACCCGCCACGTAAAGGATTTGTTTCGAGACCACAAGAAACAGACATGATGTTAGTATCACAGTAACTATTTTAAATCTCCTATAAATAGCCAGAAATCTCGAAGTTTCCTCCAGCCCGAACCATACAGCACGACAAACTTCTCAGAAAACCGGCTCACTGGCACGCATTTACGCGACCGTGGCCGGTCGACATAGACGTTTGTTGTACATCGATTTGATGACGAAAGTCCTCTATCTTTTCAACATTGACGTGGAACTACGAATAATAACTATCAGCTGCAAGGTAGGCCTCCAACTCATAGTCGACAAACAGAAAACGGATCTCCAAGCACACTAAAAAATATATTTTTCTTAACTTCGGTTTACGGAAACCCAACGACTGGATTTTTATTGTTGCAGAGGTGAGGCCATAATTTATGGTCGGCGCCAAATAAACCTTCAGAATAGTAGCCTGTCTACCAAGGTCAGAAGACGCCTATAAATTGAAGTTGGTATTACTATTAGGACTTAGAGTTAGACGTTGGGGTTAGGACTAGGAGCTAGTTTGTTCACCACGAACTGACATCAGCAATAATGTAAAAATACTATTTAGCCACATTACTATATGAATTTCGCACCAAAATCCAAGACGCTACTTACTGTCCTCAAGCCCTGCTATGTATGAGCAGTCTTCAGGTTTGGAGGTAAATATTAGACGCAGATTATTAGTTGACTGTTCCAGGTGATATAACTAGACTAGGAGAATCCCTTTCAACTCAATATCAGTAAATTTAAACTGTTAATTGTAAGCAGAAGCTATGCTTTATTATTTCGCGCATTCAGTATCCTAATTCTACTCTTAAATTTCAGGTTCGGACAAGTTTTTCTCAAAACTATTGATCATTGTAAATAACCTCAGGTATCAGTGGGGTGTTTAAGTTCTCGTGAGCGTAAGGGTTTTTTGTGAGGCATACTAACACGAAAGAGGAAAGAGTTCAAGTTAGAAAATATTTCCTTTGCCTCGTGATTAGGTCGTTACATATCAAACCTGTAATAAGCACCATGTTGTAGTGGATCTCCCGCCTAAAAGCTGTCGTATGTCGTTGTGTGTTACAGCTGGTCGATTGTTGAAACTAGTGATGAACTGATTGTCCGCTTTACTTGATTGTAATTGTTAAGACTTAATACACAAAACGTTTTCTAACCGAAAATTCCTCTTATAGGGTCTTATGCCTCAAAGAGAAACTGTTGCAGTGACCTCCTCAATCTCCCAAATTTTGGGGAAATGCCCAAAGTCGAATGCCCTTCACCAAGGTTCAAGGGGAATATTGGTGTTTTGGTGCTATTTCTTCAAAATTTTCTATAGTAGCTTCCCTAAATGGGTCAAATTTTTCCCAAAATCGGAAGATTGGGTTGGCTTTATTTGGACTGACAAATGGTCATTTCAAAATCCTAAAACCTTAGCAAAACAGGTGGAAACAAACCAAAAGAAACCAAACGATCCATATAAGCTTAGAACAACTCATAGGGTGTCAGATCATGTTCGTGCTATTTGCCTTCTCAAGATTCTTACTGTTTGGATATCTGTTTCCATTGATCAAGTACTCAGTAACCATCAGCAAATTATAAAACAGTTGTTTCCCCATCCATTTATATGTTAAGGACCGGAGACTACATAGGTATCGATTTTTTGTTTAGTGATAACAGAAGACTAAACGGCTTATGTTAGTTTTGCTCAGATGGTCGGTCATCATTCTTATCTGACAATTATACGCTCCTCCGAGGTCCCTCAGTTTAAATCAACACAGCAAAAAAACCAGCTAGATCAAAAGCAAAAGAAACGGAAGTTAGGTTTTATTATTAGCCTTGTTAAGTCATAGTATGTGCATACAGCGTTGAAACCACTTAGGTGAATCACATAATCTTGTCATATAATCAGATCTCTTTGAATACAACAATATCTGCATTTCCTTAATATTACACGAGTCTTTTATTTCGTGATGCCTTTTTAATGAAGAAATCAAACGATGCTACTGTTATTGTGTGCTTGGATATATCACTTATAACTCAGTATTACTCCATAAACTATTTTAGATTTAAAGCACTGACTATTAACATGTCCCAGATATCAGTTCGTGTACAAACATATCTGGTTTTGGGTGTTATAATCGCATGCTTCTCAATACTGTATCCCAAAATCTTCCATCCGATGCTTCTTCATCTACTGGGTTTTACAAAAAATAGGCACACAGAAGGTAGGTAATGTACCACTTTAGCCAAATTACTGTATGTATAGAGCATACCAGGTTTGAAAACCTCCGGTTAAATGTACGTTCTTGTGACTTTATCGAGCGCTTTACAGGGTCATCATGCACAAAAACCTATCAGAGCTTCAGAAGGGATTGTTCAACAGGATCAAGGGAAAAGAGGTGGAATTATGTCGATCGTTTTGCCTGTCTATGCTGTTGGTATAGTGTTATATTTGTTTTACACACTTTCAAAGGTGAGATTTTGTATATTTCCTCATAATCTTCAGTTTTATATTTCGTTATTAACCGTAGTCTCAGATGCCAAAATAGGATTGCGACAGTACCAAATTATATTTTGTTTACTAGTTTGTTCGAATTCTGCCCCACTTACGCAGATTCCGTATTGACTATTTTCCATACTGTAGATACCACTCTGATGTAGCTGTTGTCTATCGTAACAACCCAGTTGAGATATACTACCTGGAACAACTGTTTTTCGAGGTCGCATTATCTCAGATAGGTTAGTTGGTAATCGTTTATTACGAAAATTTCATATCAAAATGAAGTTTTACTGCCAGTCGTGTCGGAATTTAACTGCAGTAAGTTATTATACACGGTCGAACACCACCTACCCTACTTCACAGACGAGATAAGGGAATAGAATATGTCAAACCTAAAAACAACGCACACCTACCATGAGAATGTCTAAGGTGATCTGTAAGACTTAAAACGTGCAAACTGAGCATAGCTAAAACGAGAAAAAGCACCCACAAAATTTTCATGTAACCTGCTTCAATCAAATCTCTTATTAGCCACAGGCTTGTATATTGCTAATGTACTTTGTGTTAAGTTGTTTAGGAAACAAATAACTTATCATAGCGTGTGTAATCAAATAATACTAATCAACTATACATTTAGCAAAACTGGAGTCCGTCTTGCTTATCGTCAGTCTTCCTCCTTCCTCAGTTTCATCATCTTTATTATCACTTCTTCTACATAAGCTCGCCTCAACGTCCGGTTTATATGTACCAAATACCGGAATATTGGGTCCGCAATATCTTCCTGGCTACTTAAATTTGCGTTCAAATTACATGTTGAAGCCGTCAGTGTTCGACCCTACTTATAATTAGTCGGTGGGGATCATTTATCAAAATATTGAATCCCGTGTCATGGTTATGTCGTTTTTGTGATATATTTAGAATCTAGGTGTTACTTTTATTTTCCTCAATATTGATACAGGGAGCTCCAACCAGTATGAAAACTGAAATCAATATCATTGCTGACTGATAAAATGTTTATGTAACAATAATAAGTTTTATTAGACAACGAGGATAAGGAAGCTAGCGTTGGTTGACAATAGTAGACAATCGCTCCAACTTATCACAGACAATGAGCCTAAGCGGTTGGCATCAAGTGCTACTTTCGTGGCGAAATGTCAATAGGTTATCCACTTGGAAACCTAAAGATCGTAACTTCAAGCTTAAAACTTCAGAGGGCAGTTAGTCTAATATCCAAAAACTCTCTGGTTGCTCACTGTCTACCAAGAGCTTAAACTTATCGATAACATCAAGTACTCAACTCGTAAAAACATCAGAAAGACCTTGGCTAACTTGAGCTACATGTGTTCTCCAAATCTCTACGCATGATAGTTCGCAATAATCAGTAAACCTGTTTCGATTTTGTTGCTCTTTTAGTTTTTATCTGGTGCTACTTTCATTATTAGTGATTCGTAATTTGTTTTGTTTCGGAAACAAGTAACGTTCTTGAGCAGTTTTCGATCGAAACGACTAAGTAGACAAATAAACACATTCTAATTCGTGGACTAAAAAGATAACTTGTCTGTGCATACTCAAATAAATGATGCAGGCTTCAGACATGTAGCCCAACTGTTCAAATTTCGAGATTTACCATATTCTTATCTTTAGTCAGCATTATACTATCGGTTACAAAGTATTGGGAATCTATGAAGTGATATGCGTAATAATCTCTTTCATCCTTTTGTAGATATTTTCGTCAAAACGCCGGAAAAATACTGATAAAAAAGAGGAGTTTCTACGACAATACTATCGTGATTTCCATTATGATGTTGATCGGGGTAAATTTCGCATGGGTCATGACTCGTCCGATGATGACGATGACACCGCTGAAACAGACACATTTGGAAGTCCAAGTTTAAATTTTCTTAGTTCTAGAAAATCATCTGGAGGTAATTTGTTTCCCTTTTCACTTAACCCAATAAAGAGTGATGGTTTATTACATTTACTTTAAAATATCTCGTTTGTGCACAACCATGCTATAACTTCACACTGATCCTTACCAAACCATTAGTTTTGTATGCTACTAATTATTGTTATTCTTGTTATATAAGTTATCCACTTCTCGAAATGTTTACTATAGATGTAGAAATAGGTTTGGAGAACACTTGATAGAAGAGGCTGAATATTGCTTCTCCCAAACGTCAAAGAAACGTATAAAGCGCTACATGTTAACTCACATTGTTCACCATTGCATTTTTATTGCACTATTCTGACAGAAACTGCTTGAGAAGAGAATATTAAGTAAAAAGCAAACATCTAGTGGGAATACAAACAAGAAATATTTCACTCATTAGTTTAGCTTATTGTGGCTTGAAAATCTCTGCTTAATTGAAAATCAAAGACCTACGCTAGGTAGTGAGTGGACTGAAATTAACAAGTTTACTTTTTCTTTCAACATGTAGATTCAAACTGCAAACCATTTGAATGGGGTTCCGTTTTCAAGGGTTCTTACCCAGATATTTATCGCTCGGCTAAAAGTTTACCCAAAGATTTGGGAAAATTGCTTATGAGGATGGAACGCCAAGATTTGGGTAAGTTCGGTTTACTTACTACTCTTAATTTGACTATCATATACGTCTAATTACGTCTTTTTACTTGTTCCCCATCTTTTAACTCCTCATTACTCTTTGCCATTTTTCAAGATTGCAGATGTTCTTTTTCGTGTTGATGCAAAGTGTGGAAGATCCTACGTCATTCGTCTGTTTAAATAACTCAGCCAATATTTAATTTATTATTTTTTCCCACCAAAACCTACATGTAATTGTGACTGACCTATAGATTTTACTGCCAGATTATTTATCAGGGTGATTTTAAGAGGGAATTCAGCCAGGCATTTTAACGTGTATTTCATAACTGTTCCAACGCATCCATTGTTGCTAACCCTAAATAATAATAAATAATCCTAAGCAACTTGATATTTCATATTTCGAAAATTATAGATACAGAAGAGTTGTCACGTCTTCGTGTTAGACTCGAGCAAACTGAACATGAAATGACACGCATACTACAAGCAATGCAATCTGCAGAAGATGCTCTACGTGGTTCAATTGAAGAACAAGAGATAGATGAAGGAATTTTCACTACCATATCTGACAGGGAACAGTCTGGAGTAAATTTGAATGAATATGAAGATATGGCAAGTGAAGTGTTAGACAAAGAAATCACTGAGGAAAATGAATCAGAACGCGATTTTAATATCTCACAGTCAAAGGAGAATTTAGAAATACCCTATGAAGAGGTGACGACATTTGACGACCATAACAAAGGTTAGCATTATATTTACAAATCAGTTATTCAATGGTATTTTCCTCATTACTACTATTTATTTTGACTTCTATTTATACGTAAACTCTGATCTTACTATGGAGATAGTAAAGTTTCAATCAGACGGTTAACAGTTCTAGTCTTTCTCTATTCACCACCCTTCTTATTCCGAAGTACTTTTGTTTTCTACGTTTGCATCCGCTCATGATTGTCGGGTAGCTTTTCCTACTCCAACTTGGTCATACAAAAGAACGTAGTATTTACTTTATACAACCCAGTGCAATTATAAAATGATTTCTTTCAAATGGTCAATTGGTAAGGAGAGGAATGCGCATTCATTTAGTGGTTTATACACTCATCAAGCTAATTGAAAACAAGATGACTTGTGAGTTCTATGAACAGATCCTAAAATCCCTGAGAAGTATTGACTTATGAACAGATACGTGAAAATTGTGAAATATAGTGGGTGAAAGTATAGCAAGTTAGGTTTTCACTCCACTGTAAAATCGCAGTAGTTTAAAGAAGGCTGAGAAGTAGATGATCTTTTCCGTTCTGATAAGCTGGATTTCTAAGACAATGGTGTGCATTTAAATCATATTTACTGGCACGGAGGGGTCCACCTAGGGGAGTTGAAAAATCTGATTCCAAACCAATGGTGCCCATGGGCTCCAGGATCCTGATGGAAAAAATGGCGTATGAACCAATCGTTGGTCATCGACTACCATGGGACTGCATTTTCTTACGTCGCTCCACTGCCTTGTGGATCAGACCTATAGGTTGAAGGCTCCGAGTGTGTCCCCATAAGGAAATCACCTGCCTCGGTCTGGGCACCTGGTCAGTATCACAGCCCACACACAAATCAAGTGACTTGTGTAGCGCATATGTATTCGGTGCCCCTTTTTATCAATATTTATGTGTTAAAATAAATAAATAAGCAGTTTTGATATTATATCAGACTAGTCGTGTAAGAAAAGTCAATACATGCATGTTTGAAGAGAATATGGAAATCTAGAGAAATGGATTTCGTAATATCTTATGCAGGTAATATGCTCTTTTAAGCCTGCGAACATTAATTTTCTTTATTCGTACTGTAAACTGCATTATTATGAAGTGGATATGTGTACAAGGTGCTATCTGATCACCTAAATATATGATTGCTAGCATTATTTCAATTACATTCAACCTTATCTTTTCATTATCATTTGAAAAACTCTTATATGAAGTACCGATCTTACATAACTTAATCTGTTTCATGGTAAAAGTTTCTTAATTTTCTAACGAAATCCGTTATGACGGAGGTTTAGAATGCATGTACTACTACAAGGTTGAACTCGTGTACTCCTTGGAACATTTGTTGCCCATGCTTCCCAGTTAGTGTTCTCAAGGAGAAACTATCTCACATTGTCGTGAATTTTAGTATCGACCTCTCACATATCTTTAATAGTACTAGAGTCTACTTTGCTTAGTACCAGTTTCCTTTAAAAGTTTCTCCGATTCTCATTATCAATTCTTATACATTAGCCATCGAATTTCAACAGGATTATTCCTAAGCTATATGTTTTAATAGGCTTGTACGCCTGTGTGCTTTTCAAGATAATGTAAACAGTAGTTTATGACTGATCAAAAGCGAGAATTTACGTTCGTAAATCACTTTATAAGGCTTTTTATAACTAAAGTACAACCGAAGTTCACTATGTGATCAACCTTTCTCGCCCTATGTAAATATATACTGCCGGTCCCAAGCCCATGTAAAAGAAGAGAGTTGGGTATGGCGTCAGCAATCCCATCCTGTGGAAAACCTTGTTAAAAACGCTAACCAGAACAAGCAAATCAAACCATTTAAACTCTGCCCTGGGAGTTGTAGGATATTTATTCAGAAGAATTATGACGCTTCATAATGAAATCCGAGACTTTTCGGAATTCACGAGGCCAATGCCCCTTCTAACAACCAGAGCAATAGTTAATACAGGCACATGGAATGTTCGAACAATGTTGGAGACCGGAAGGACCAGTCAAATGGTTACAGGAATGAGAATTCTATGTTGCCAGTTCTACTCTATGGAGTTGAAATTTAGAGAACGACTACAACCATAATAAAAATGTACAAGTATTTATAAACAACTGTCTACATAAGATACTCAATGTTCGTTCACCGGATACCATCAGCAACAACCCACTGTGACAGAGAATAAACCAGCTTCCAGATGAAGAGGGAATTAGGAAAAGATGTTGGAGGTAGATAGAATATACATTATGGAAATCATCAAACTGCATCTTGAGACAAGCAGTAACTTGTATTACTGAAGGTGAATGGAAAAGAGGAAGGCCTAGGAACATATTGCGTTGGGAATTGTAAGCAGACATTAGAAGAATGAATAGCATCTGGAAAGAACCGGAAAGGATTGCGTAGGACAGAGTTGGATGGAGAGTGCTGGTGGGTGACCTATGCTCCATGAGTTTTAACAGTAGTACGTAATACATGTGTCCTTTCATTTTCTGGCAATGATAAGGTATATTCTTTAATTTTTACTAGGTGATGTAACTGAATCATGCATTCGCCGTCGTTTAGTTACATTTAATTGACTTCGGTCTCCAGCCGTCATCATGATTTGAACACTGAGACTAATCACCATGAATTACATAATAATCTCGCCACAACAATTAGTAACAATTCAAACACTTCTGTATACGGTTCTGATAATTTTATTCATAACGACCTCTGTGTTTCTAGTTACTTTTGCATTTATCTTCGTTTTTGTCACTTTGTATATTGTTGTAGTGAGCAAAATAAGTTTTTTTCCTACTTTTCTTTTTTTAATTTTCTATATTCCTCAAAATATTCCTTGGTAGTGTTGCATTTTTGTCATTTTTCTCTTGACTGACCAACAATATGTGATAAGCAATATTTGAATTATAATATGGTCTTATTTGTATGAGATAATTTTGTTTATCCGTTTGATGAGTGTGATGCATAATTATTGTACGCTAGAAAATACATTCAACCTACAAAGTGCGCAACTTTGAATCTTCAGTAACTCTTTAAAAAAAGTTCTTATACCGTATTCGTTAATTTGGAGTAATCGACGAGTAGGTTGAATTCATACAATTCGTTATAATCGTTTCTTACAAATTGTACTTATTTTCTGCAGTCTGTTTGGATTATTAAGCATTTTGAGACTGACTTGAACATCCGTAATTTGAATATGTATAACTTCTACATATATTTGAGTAGCTTACTTTAACTACTACCCTGCCATTGTTTGTAGAATAGTGATATTTTAGCGCCAGCAAGTATTTCCACATACTGCTTATTGGAGTGCATTTATAGAATACAATGCTGTGATCTCTTAAATGTGCTGTACAGAGTTCATGAGCAAGGCATTTCATCTTGTAGCCAGAGAGACATAAACAACTCCGAACCTGATAGTAACGTCTATTTGTCCATATTGTTATAGCTCACATAACATCACAAGAATGAATACTCAACATTGGTGTAAAATAAGCGGTAAATATTGGAAGGAAAAAAATAAAATGAAATGTGGGGATAATAATATGTCCAAGACTCAGAGAAAGATGAATTTTATCTGGAGAATTTAAATCGGGACATTTGCACATCTCAAACAGTTTGAACAAATGATCTTGTAAACTAATGGAATTTTATTGTTGAGATTATTTTGGATGCCTAAAATTGATCTGTCTATATTGTGATTTTACGGTTAAGCTAGCCAAAAATTAACCACTACATAGTTAATTAGATGTAACTTGATCTAAACAACATAAACATTCTTTTGCTATTGCAAAAATTGATAAGCAATAGGGAATTCCCACTTTTGAAAAAAGTTTAGTAGTTTGGAAGGATCTTTAGATTACTACAAGTTGAACAGACTGCTTCAGTTATTTTTCAAAGGTGAAACACTAAATAGTCGGAAAATAAATTCGGATTAGTACTTAGAAACTAAGTCTTCTAGAAATCGCTATTTTATAAGACAAATTGATTATAAATGGATAAGTTCACCCTTGAAAATTATTACCATATTAAAGCATACCGTCCATAATCATTCACAAAATCTAATACAACTAACAACTGACTAATTATTGTAAGTATTGTTTACCTATAACACACTTCGGAATAGTCATTAAATGAATACGACACAAGATGTGTAACATTTAGATTACCTTACAGTTTGGTCTAGAATTACGCAATTGAAGCAAACAACTACTTTCACTTTCCATGAACTAAAGGACAAATACAAATAAGTAACCAATATTTGACAAGTACACATCAAATCTACTTCATTCAGGACAATGTACAATGGAACTACCAAAATTACAATAGACGAATTGACATAAAAACGCTAACCTGTAAAACCACGGCTCATGATTGATTATTTACCCCATTATATATTTGAATACATTAATGAAAATTAGTTTACAATAGACTTCTATGATTAACTTTTTTTAATCTTCGTAACAATATAATAATGAGTAAAATATGGAAATTCTACTAACAAACAAATAATCTAATTTTTAAAAAAACGCGACTCAATAATGGTAATGACTGATTAAATTATACCGTAACAATAGTTTGAATTTAATAATTTATTGTTGTTATGTATACTACTAATAACACTGCTAATCAGTAGATAATCAAAATGACAACAATAATTAAGTATTCCTACTACCTGTTTTTGAAATTGAACACACACATGTACAGATGAACAAATAAAACAAGTCTTCTCCCATTAAAAGATACACACCCCGTTGAAAAGGAGGGAAGTACAGAAGAGAGGAATATTAACGAGAATAAAACAAGATGGATGAGAATACTCGATGACATCAAAGACGACTTAATATATAATGGAATTTACAAAAAGAAACAAATATATATGTCTAGAAAAAGACAAACCTATCTTTAAAATAAAAAAGGAAAATTCGAAATGACATTACTAAAAGATATGAAATAATAAAGTTACATTATACAGCTTGCATATATTATTACAATGGTCTTGCTTAGCGTTTTTTTTTCGACGAACACATGCAGTATAATTCATAAAAATACAAAAATAGATATCTTTTCATCCGATTAAGAAAAGGAATGAATTTCACACACTGTCGTCACCTGATAGTGTTGTGTACGAGCATATACGTAATAATGATGAAGAAAGATTGACAGAAGAAGAAGACGATAATACTTCTTGACTGCGAATATTACTGCCTAAACTTAATTGATTTAAAGTGTTTGTAAGGCTTCCTTGATGATAAACAGCGGTATTGTCGTTATCATTTGAATGTACTGCAGACACTGTTGATGACTGTACAGTATTGGTTGGTGTATTAACCTTATTATAAATTGGTTTTGATGTTAAATTAATTATTGGTTTACTATAAGTAGGTGTATCAGAAATGAATGGATCCATATTTAACTTATTTATAGGAAGTTGTAAATCTTCCTTTATATTCTGTATCACATTTAAAGCTGAATAATCAGATGATGAACTGAAATCATGTAATCTTATGGTTGAATATTGTTGTATTGAATTTTGATACTGTTGATCTGTAGTAGATGATAATTGATTCAATCCATAGTCCTCTGTACCAGGTCTTCGTCTAGGTCGTTTAACCTTTCTTAACATATTGGCCTACATACGTATTATGGAATAAAACAAATTGCGGAAATGACTAAAGTAATCAAGCTGATATACTTACAAACTGAATATTATCTAAAGTTTTATGTCAATGAAAAGCCGTAAAATAATAGACTTATTACGTGTTTCAGCCATACTATCGATATGATCATTAATAAGAATCCCGCTATTTTGTGTCTACCATAAGATGAAATGACTTGAAGTAACTGTAAGTTGGTGTGGATGACCGAATTTCAAATCTAGTCTTGAAGTATTGTGTTTGCTACAGGGATCGTAATGTTTACGGCTTGATCTCAAGCTGAGTTTCGGATGAAGTGTCCGTAAATCACGACAAAACATCAATGTCACTTAATTATCAATGATCTACTAGCTCACAGTGAAAGCATGCGCATCAAATGTAAGTGAGAGATTGAAGATAAAAACTTTGCAAATGTAAACATAGACTAGAAAAAAAATTAAACGAATATAGTTTAACATTATATTAAAATAACTAAAATGACTCGCTTACACTCAATGCGGAACGTAGTACAGTAATTTGACCAGGTGGATGAATGAATGGTTCGCCGTCAACTTGAATAGGAAGCTCAGATTTAAGCCAGATTTTCAACTAATGAAAGAACAGAAATTTTTCAATATCAATTAATTTATGCTCGATAATGATTGAAATATCACACTCAATTAAATACTAATGAAAACGACTATTCATTTTCACTTGGTATTATTTTGCTTGTATCTTCCCATTGAGGTTTAAGACTGCGATTGATCAGTCTGTTGTTGGCATATATGCATACTGTGCGTATGCCTCGATATTGCCTTAATTCACAAGCTTTTTGTAAGCAATGATGGATAGTGGCTAGCAGTGGAATTCGGGACGCGCGTTTCGTCCTATTTGGGACTCGTCAGCTGGATGTACCTGCGTCTCAGGGTTGATGTTCACTCCGGGACTCGAACCCAGTATCATTCGCTTCAAACGCCATCGCGTTATCCACTCAGCTACTGAGTCCTGATAGCCACTTGCTTGTGCAATGGAGTGAATTTAAATTCACTTGGTATTGTTTTACTTGTATCTTCCCATTGACCTATTCATTTTTCTGTAATAGAAACAAATGAATCATACATTTATATTACTTGTATCTACAAACATTCAATCTAGAAAGCACAAACAATCAAAGGAAATTCAGCTAAGATATAATTTATCCAACTAATTATAAATAATAAAAGTAGATGTGCATAATAAATGCTGCGTTGATTTGTTGTTTTTCTTTTTCAAATTGAAAAAAAGCAAACAAATTTAAAATAGAGATTCTATTAGGGATTAAAAAAACAAAAAGGATAGGACAGTTTACGACAATAAGAAATAATTAGTGAAGAAAATTATACTCTCCATAAGAAATAATATATCACATCGTATAAAGAGAGCTAATCAATAGGAAACTATAAATAAACAAATAGGTAGATAAATCACTCAACAATATAAATAATTCTTATTTTTTTTAAAAAGGAACACCGAGTGAAAAGATCAAAAAGCATTTCTCTATACATATATAGCTTTCCCAAAAAATGCATACATATGGGAAAACAAAACTCGTGATATCGCTAGTCATTTCTGTATGCAGAGCTTTCAAAATCAGAATAAACAAGCTATCTGTTTAGTAAATTCATTTTATACTGTTTGCTTGGATTTTCCCATTGATGTTTAAGACTGTAATTGATCAGTCTCTTATTGGCATATGTGCATCCTTAAGTGACGAGCAGTAGTTGTTTGCACATTTAGCATACGAGCTAGTTACCGCAATCAAAGTAAGTCAATAACCCTTTCATTTAATCTTCTCTACCTACTTAAAACTTTACATCTAACATCAACATTTCTAACCTATTGGTTCTGTTACACGTGACCAATACTTTAGTGACATATATAATCGAACACATGTACATTTGTCTACATATTTAAGCTTGTTGGTCATGTTTCAAAGAAGAAAGACACTTTAAATTTCAAATAAAGATAAACAATCACCCGAGTGCTAACTACATTCGCTAAAAGCTCTTAAAGTATGTGATAAATGGTGGTTTGAAAAAAAATTTAATACATTTACGTTATCTTTAGTTTATCATGAAACGATAAAGATGTTTAATTTAAGTAGACGTTTTACGTTGTTTTGTATTCTCTGAACTTGATGATTTAGTCGTTAAGTACATTCACACTATAGTGGGCAACATCAACGCTTACCTACATAAAGTGAGCGAATATATTAACCACTAGTTTGGAAAAAAGTTAAATTAACTACATTTGGAAAAAAGAATAATTTTAAGATTCAAAAAATATGTTGTTAACATTTACTATTATATTTTAAGAAATCTTGAAAATAAAATAGATTAATTATACGAAATCTAACAAATCATTTTTAATATAAAAAAGTCAAAATTACATGTGCTGCTTGAGCAAGACGAATCCCAGTGCCAAGACCAGAATAGATTTGTCCCATATGAACTACACCAGAAATACCAACAATTTCAAGTAAACCATCATAATGTGTAGGTTTAACAAATTCATCATCATGCTTTTCCACATTCCATGGATTAGCTCCACCACCCCAAGAAAGAATATTTAATACAACTAGACCTTCAATTGGTGGTAATATGATAATTTTCCCATCAGCAATAACTACAATTTGTTTGTGTAAATCTTTGCAAATAGTTCGATTAATCATTTTTCTTAAACCAATTTTAAAATAAACACCTTTATTGTGAATACTAAACGAGAAATAAAATAAACAATACGTTAATCAAAATATCCATGGACTGTAATTATTCGTTTGAACATAATAAAATTCACCTGTAACAATTCTCATCATTTTTAATAAAATCTATTAATTAACAACAGTAATAAAGAAAAAAAATAGTCAGTCAGTAACAACATAGAACTTCGTACGTACGTACATCAGTTCAAGTTCCCACACCACATTAACACAGAGATGCACTTGTCGATTCAAATCCCGTAGTGGCAGAGGTGGTAAGAGTATAAGCAGTGATCGGAAACATTAGAGTTTGAACATGTTATTCAACGAGTATAATACAGTGAAATAAATTTAGAAAGAGGAAAAAAGGAAGGGACATGAAGAAGTCAGAAGATTAGAATTTGGGAGAACACAAAGAGTGGATGCACCTGCGCCATTGCAAACGATTTTGAGCCATGTCATTCAGGGTCTCTAACCATCGGTTGCTATCATCTCGTGGACCCCAATCACGTAGTCTACACCTACCAACATGGCTCAGTCCGCTTGTCAGTGACTTCATGGATTTTTGTCATGTTTTGGTCTGTCCGCCCCTAGCTTTCTTCCAACCTACTCCTACACCATAAAACATCGCACGTCGGTGCAGTCGGTGGTTGGGCATACGAAACACATGTCCCAGCAATCTCAACTGATGAAGTTTCACCACTTTATCAATTGATTTGCCATCCTTGCCTACTACCCGTTTCCTAACAACTGCGTTACTTACTCGATGGTCTCAGGATATACGACCAATGTTTCGAAGACACCTATGATCAAATACTAGTAACCTACGAATATCCTCGTCTCTTACCGGCCATGTTTGACATTCATAAAGTAGGACGGAACGACGTGCTGCGCAGTAAACACGTCCTTTGGTTGATAGACGGATATCTCGCCTACGCCATAAATGACGCAAGTGGGCAAAAGCTAGTCGAGCCATCTGTATCCGTGTTGAGATTTCGTCACACACCAGACTTCCCAGATAAGTGAAG